GATTTGCTCTTTTGTTCTGTCTTAAAAAGTAGCTCTATTGGATAACCACCTTGTGGCCAGTGACAAGCCATGTATATGTCCAGTGACATTATAGTTATCTAAGATTGGTCTATGAAATCACCTAATGATTTCACACAGTGTGTCCTCATTATTGGTGATACATGTCTACAGTAAAAAATACTATTGCTTGAACAAATATTCACTACTTTAATACTTGTTAGTGTTTAGGTAAAAATGTGATACTCATTTCTTGAGAAGTTGTTTTAAATAATGAATTTTTTATTTTGAAAAAACATCCCTCACCCCAGTCAGTTTCCTTAAGCCAGAAAATGAATCTAGAATCAAAATTTAATCAGTGGTATATAAGACATCAAGGCTAGGCTCATGTGTCATTCCAGTACTTGGGAGGCTTAGACAAGAGGATTGCTGTGAGTTGCAGGCTAACCTGGGCTACAAAGTGGGTTCAGGGCCAGCTTGAGCTGCATAGTGAAACCCTGTTCTAGAAAAAGATTTAATAAATAAAAGACATCAAATATTTTTGTTAGGAAAACAAATATTGTATTTGTTTTCATACATAATTTATGAATAAAAAGACTTAACCATGCTGTGTAGTGTTTGTCTTGGCTTTGGTTTGAGTCTGTCATGATACTAAAACATCATGATTATGTACTTAAACATTGTCTGTTCTCTTTGTAACAATTACCCTGGATGGGTCTAATTTATGCAAGTTGTGTCAGTGTCCTATTCAGTTTAGGGTGTCTCCCAGATTTTAAAGTTTCACTGGAGTAGTATTATCAGTGGCTGCTTTGAAGTAAGACCAAGTACATTATTATTAGACTTATGCTTTGAACTCCTTCTTTGCTTTTGTCTTGTGGTATAGAAGATGCCTCTGCAGTTAACAGAGATTTCCATTTAATGGATGAAACATTTAAGACTTTTATCTTTCCAGTCTTCCATGTGTGTGTGTACTATAACTCCTTTCCCCTTTGTAAAATAGCGTGTAGGTAAAATGAAGAGCACAGAGAAGGTAGGGTGGGGCATAGTGAAGTAAATGCTGACCTTTGTGGTAATTAACAGTGTTCATCTGCCAGCAGCTTGATGTACCAGCAAGTTGTGCCAAGGTCTGTGAGATGGCGTGACGCTCCAGGCCACTAGTCGATGGAGTTAAGAAAACATGAGAAGTTGATTATAAGTGAAATACGTGCAGGAGGCAAAGACTGAAAGTTCTGTTACAGATCATTAAAGAGAGTGGTCAAAGCATTCTGGCTACAGTAGTTTTGTCATTTATTATATAGTATTAATCTAAAGCCTATTTTATTATTTGGTGGATTTTTTAAATTTTGCATAAGCTCAAGCTACAAACTCATCATATTCTAAAGAGTATTTAATGAAGAACAGAGTGATGAACTTCCATTTGGTGGAAGTTCATTTCAGTACCTAACATGTACAAAATGTTTAGGATATTTACTGTCTACCTTCAGAGGTATGGTACCAGTGAGCACATAGCAATCTATTATAAAGGGACTGACATTTGTTTAAGAAATTAAATGTGATTTTAAGATTATGCATCAAAAAGATTGTATATCAGTACAAAAGATATTTACATAACTTTTAAAAATGTGACTTCATTTAGATAAAAGAACTTTTTAAAAATTTATTTTTCTTTCCAAATTTTCTTTGCATGTGTGAAAAATGAAGCAGTAGCTGTTAATATATTACTGCCATTAGTAGAGAAAGGGTTCAAACTGCTGGTTTTGAAATAGAGAATAAATTAGTTCCAATAAGGTTCAACACTTGGCTCAGAGCGTTGTGTTTGTTATGTTAGTGCTATAAATGGAATCAGAGTAAAGCTTTTAAAAGTTTGTTCTTTCAAAAAAATGCTGCAAATTCTTATTATAAATATAAAAACTAATATTGAAGATAGAATCATTTGTTTTTGCTGGAAGGAAGTTGTCATGGTAAAATCAGTGTTCTTATTAAAGTGAAACAAGGGAACAAAAATGTTTTTAGAACTGGTGGTGGTGCAAGTAAAGAAATGGTGCTGTTCAGCCAGTTGAAAGAAGGCCTTCACAGGAGGATTTACTGATACCGATCTATGCAGGTTAACTGAACTGCAAAATTTGTGTGATAGTGTTAGTGTTACACACTTGGCTGCATGTTGGTGGGCAGAATTTTAGAAATAACTTTTGTTTAGTAGTGCCTCAAAAAATGTTTTTATTGATAAGTGAGTCTTGGGGATATTGGTTAGAGTCAAAAAATTATTTGGAAATTGCTAAAATGTCACCAAATAACCTTTTAGGTTTTGAAATTTTTAGCATAGCAGGTCTTGAGAACAAATCTTGCAGATAGGACTGAAATTTAGTTCTGTGAAAAAAAGGGAAGAATTTATTTGGAGAGGCTAGAGGCATAGCTCAATGGAAAAGTACATGCCTGGTGTACACAAGGCCCCAAAAAGATTTAATTTGAACCTTGTGTCATTTACATTATTTTGAAGGAGCATCTATTTTTAATTAAATCAGTTTATATATTATGTTAGGATGAAGTAAAATCAAAGTTGATTTTTTAATTAAGAAAGTTTTAAAATAAAATTTTATTGGTATAAACAATTTTTTTTAAATATCTAAATTTAGAGGCTGGGGAGATGGCTCAGTGGAATAAGCACTTCCCTGGCAAGCTCAAGGGCCTGAGTTCAATCCCCAGTTCCGCCACAAAAAAAAAAAAAAATCTAAATTTGATGAAATGTTTAAAAAGTATTGTCCTGAGGCATAATTTTCTTAAAATATGGTTTATCCCAACAAAATTATCAAAAAGGGAAAATGTAAAATACTGGCATTTAAAGTATTTGCAGTTTTCAGCACAGAAGAGGGAATTGAGAATATCCTTTATTCAACAGAATTTTCTCTGAACTTGCCTGCTAGTTCAGAAATGCTTATAAGAAGGATATTTTCTCCATTAAAAACGTGTGTGGAAAAAAGCCAACTGAAAATACCAGCAAATTTGTAAATATTAATCGTATGATTCAATTTTGAAAAAAAGTTAATTTTTAAAAATTTAACAAGAGCATATAAAACAAATTATTCAGGGAAATACCCTTGATACTAGAAATAGCTACAGCAAGCAGTCTGGTTACTGGATATGAATGGGATGTGTATTTCTTCTTATATTTTAATGCACTATTATATGCAGATGTGCTTTTATATCTTAAAAATAATTTTATTTTTGAAAATGTATTTTAATAGAACTGCTTTATATGTTATAAATTTACTGATATTACAAGCTTGAATCATAAATATATCGAAAAATTACTTAATTTTAATCACTTTAAATACCTTATTTCACTCTTTGTGGTGTCTGTTAATATATGAAAGAGTTTAATTTTCTGAAAGTAAATTTTAGAGACAGGAAATATAAGCAAAATTATTTCTGCATTACCTCAAAAAAATCATTGCTATTAACCATTGACTCCTTTGATTTATTTATAGTTGCAGAACCTAAGTCTCAGTGCTCAAATGGATGTTAGCATGAACTAGTTGCAAATTCTCACTATACATTTGAGAAAACTAATAGTTTAGTTTGCCATGTTTTCCCAGCAAGATAGCTGCAAGTTAATGTATCACAGTTACTTTAAAGTTTCTGTTGAGTTGCATTCCTTATCAGGTGAATAGTACGCTAATTATCTTGAAAATGTGTCATAAGAGTTTTTCTTTTATGTAGTTGAACCAACATGGTTTAGCAATTAGTGAGAGTAATTGATGGTAACCAAATTCAGCAAAGCACTTACTAACATTTTCACTTGTAGTTTTTTAATTGTACTTTAATAAAACTAGGTCTTTAAATATTCTGCTACTGAAAGGTGGTTGCTTTCTATCAAATCAATTATCTTAACCAATTATTTTGTAAAGTAGTTTACCACACCATTCCTGTACTTTGACTTACTGTTCTAGAATTGTCTTTCGTTCTTCCTACCTTGATTTTATTTTTATCTGTTTCTAATGTGTATAAGATGTTGTGATGTAAATGATTAAATATCCATCAGTTCATTTCCTCCAGGTTTTAGGAGTCCTATTTTACTTACAAGTACAAATGTACTGTACTGTATAGTCTTCTAAGTTAAAACTATGCTTTTTCAGTAAAAAAAAAAAAAAAAAAAACCCCTGTAGTTTAAAATGCAAACCAATTTGAACATTTCTATTTTGATTTAATTATTATTAAAATTATCTCAATGTATGTTAATGTAGTACAAAGATTGACTTAGGAAGACTTATTATGGTGTAAAAGCTACTATAATAAGTTGTTCCCTTACATAAATAAATAAATGACCAATATTACCAGAGGCTATAAGCAGCATGGAGGAAAAATGAAAGAAGTCTTTTATCCTAGTTTTTAGAGGGCATCAGCAGCTTGCTTTTATGAAAAAGTAACAGCTAAATGCACTGCAAATAATTTGCAGTAATCCAGTTCAGTGATTCATGTGTCTGCTTTAATGGGTCATAATTCAGGGTAAAGTAACTGAGTGCAGTCAGAGTGCAGACACTGCTTATGCCAGAGACAGTATCTCTTCATAAAACACACCTCAGGAGAAGCAGTTTGCCAGTCCCCTAATACTCTCTGATGTTTTGATGTCCTGCATATTTTTCCGATTAAGTTTTGAGTGCCATGTTTTTAGTTGTATTTCCACATTCATTATTCTCACGTAGACCCTTCAGCAGGTTTGCCATATATGATTATTTTTTTAATGATGCCTTTCTTTCCACTTCAGCAGTTTAATAATCTAGCACATGGCTGCTTCTCAGTACTCAGCATTCACCTCCCCAATACAGAGGAGGACATGTGCTTTGGCTTCAAAATTCCATTTGCCGTGTTAGAAATGCATATTCCCTGTGGAACAACATTTGTTTGACATAACCATTCATTTTTATTACGTCTTTAAATATGTTTATCCAGAGTTATCAATAATCATAAATAACTGTATTCTTGTCTTGTTCTGTTTTTTCCAACAGACAAAACTGCTTACCCAGTACATATTAAATCTCGGCAAGTATGATCAGAACTATGACATCAGAGACCGCACAAGATTTATTAGGCAGCTTATTGTTCCGAATGAGAAGAGTGGAGCTTTAAGTAAATATGCCAAAAAAATATTCCTAGCACAAAAGCCTGCACCAGTGCTTGAGTCTCCTTTTAAAGGTATTTTGTCAGATTACATAACTGCAAAACAAATGTTTACCTAAAACATGGCACTATGTCACATTTCTAATGTCCTTAAAATTTATCTTTTAAAATACAAATGATTAACAGATATAGATAGATAAGAACAATGGGCTTTCTCTTCATTCATGTTTTCCAGAGCAAGCTTTATATTAGTTTAAGTTTATATTTTTTATAGACTTTATTTACCTAAATAATTTCAGGTCTTCTGCTTGATATTCTTACTAAATAGTTTAACTAAATAATAGAGCTGTCTTATTCTCATAAAATTGATTTATCTCTATTTTAAATAGTTTTATAAGAAATATGTCATCTTAATAGTGAGTTGTTATTAATTAAATAGCCTCAGTGCACTAATGTCAACATTTCTAGGAGAAATTATTTCATAAAAATATCCCTTTATAGTTGAATTTGTCTTATAATCAGAGAACTTTTTTTCAGTTTTAAAAAAAGGATTAATTAAATATTTTGTCATTTTAATAAGTAGCTATTCCAGTTGGAATCAGATAATCACATACCTTGGTTTTTATATTTTTATATTGTTTCTTACTTAATTGTTGGAAAATGATAAAAAGCAATTCTATTTTGTAGAAAAACTATTACAATTCTGGATGTGTTAGTGCCAAGACATGTATATGGATTGTTTAACTGTGCTGTCATTCTTAATATTCACAGTAAAGTAATTTTTAGAGAAGCTACATTTCAGAGCAACATCTCTAAACACACTGACTGATTAGCTTTTTTATTGACCATTATGGGGGAGATTATTGTAATCTATGGTCTGAAATCAGTTTTTTGACCTATGAAGTGCTTCCTAATTCATATTTATTCCTTGACATTTGAGGTAATATGCCAGTTACCTGGAGCTCTGATTATGATTGTTCTGTTATCTGTGGTGCATATTGTTTATTTTATATTTTCCTCTCCTTTAATAGATAGGGATCATTTCCAGCTTGGCACCTTATCTCATACTCTCAACATTAAAGCTTCTGGGTACCTAGAATTATCTAATTGGCCAGAGGTAGCACCAGACCCATCAGTTAGAAATGTGGAAGTAATAGAGTTGGTAAGTTGACCTTTCTGAAATTAATTTGTTCAAGCATTGGGAGATTCTAGGATAACTGTTGTTTCATATAAGAGCTTTTTTGGGGAATTGAAAACTGTTCTAGTATTTCTAAATGTCATATATTAGAGATACCTTGCCTTTATAAGAACTGAATAATGTTGTATTCCTGTGTTGTACATGTACCATTCCTTTCTTCAAGGAAATAGAGAATTGAATTCTCTGCATCAGTGCTGCCCATATTTGTGCAACTGCATTTGTAGCTGTGTAGATTCAATTTCTAAGGTATTTAGTTTCATTGGATTGAACCTTTTCTACTTTGTTAGAGGTCCATAAGCTTCCTGTAAATGTTTTTCTAAATAGCATTTGCTGTTCTTTTTGAGAAAAACCTTACAAAGTGTTCCTTTGGATTTTCTGATGAACCTGTTTTAAGTGAAGCCTGAATACCTATAGGGAACATTGTGTACTAAAAATGTCCTTTGACAGTCACAGTCAAAGCATGTAATGTGTTGTTTCCACATTTAAAATGTACTATGCAAGTATTCTTTTTCTAGATATTTAAAAAAACAGCTGTTTGATTAAAGTGATTAATTTTTCCTAATATCTGTTTCTTGTTAGGTAAACAAAAATAACTGATTTGATTTATTGTGTTTGGAAATTAATTATGTGAGCATATCTAATTTTTTTTTAAAAGTAGAATTTTAAATAAAAATCATTTAAGAGGGGCCGGGGAGATGGCTCAATAGAAGCTTCCCTGGCAAGCACAAGGGTGTGAGTTCAATCACCAGTTCCACCAGAAAAAAAAAACATTTAAGAATTATATTCTGGATCTTTTTCTGGTAGAAAAGATACATTGAACTTGAATTCAAACAACTAGAGTTCTTTACCACTAATTTCTGTTGAAAAGTTAACTTCTTTGCTCTTTACTTTTTCATATGCAATAGAAATTGTTTATTATTTTAAATATAACTTCTGTAATGAACATAATCATTTAATTTGATTCTTCAGAAATTCATCTTGGCTCTCCAGTGTAGCCAGAAGCAATCCTGACTAATAATACCTCCATTTAGCAAAATCTGGCAGTGTACTGTGGTATTTGACAAATGTTATCTGTTGGAGCCTTGTACTTATGACAAGTGTTGATTGTTCTTAATTAGTGTTTTGCAGATGAGGAGACTGAGGCTCAGAGAACATGGCTCACAGGTGGAAGGAGTGGGATTCCAACCCAGCTCTGATTCCAAGGGCCATGCTCTCGCTTACTGCATTTTGTTATGTGACACTAGAAAGAGGAAGCCAACCTTCCTTACAGATCTGTTTCAACCTGAATGCTTAGCACCATGATGGTTGTGTCTTCACAAATCCTCTCTGATTTGAGATGGCCTAGGAAATAATACAAACATTATGAAAACTAAATGCACATCTATTTTTCTTAAAGCTACATGTGTTGATTTCCAGTCTAATCTATATATCCTTAAGAAATCTTAGACAGTTCTCTATTTACTCAACTTTTGGTCAGAAATTTTGTTTGTTTGGTTTTTTACAGATATGTTTTCTCTCCTGTGCCTGTTTGTTGTTTTCATGGTTCTGTCTTTTTTTTCAGTTTTGGGTACATAATGTTTTGGCCGGAATAACCTCCCACTACATCTGCTCACCTTTCTGTCCCCCTGAAAAAGATTTATCTTCACAGAAATTGATAGCAGTGCTGTGTAATTTAATTTGGTCTCAGCAGTATCCTTATATTGGGTGATAGATTGTTTGGTTGGCTGGCTTCTTCCATTTTTATGTGTTCTAAGCATTAACTACCTTATAAGGACAGTACCTAAATAACCTGTTTTCTTATATCCATTTCTTTTGTTCAGTTCAACAGAGACAAATTGATTTCTTTTTAATTTTGCTGACTACATTCATGAAATTAATAATTGATAACTTACGTAAAATAATTATAACTAATGGAATCAGGCTGAAGAGAACTGTCACTGTTGGTGACATACAGAAAGCAACTCAAGGCTATTGGTCTCAGATACATTGGCTTAAAATCATACAGTGAGGGATATAATTAAATGTAAAAATAATACAGCCAGTTACGTTTTCAAATGCATCTGTAACAGTGCTGAAAGTAATGTTCAGGTCTTCTCCTGACTTTTACTCACAACTATTCCCTGGTCGTACAACTGCACATGTGATACACTGTGTCATTCTGTGTTTACTATAAAGTGATCTTATAGGATCAAATCTCATTATGAGGAAATGTAACTTAGGGGGAACAATGGCCTAGCATTAGATAATCTGATATCTTAAAACAGCTTGGGACCAAATAAGATTGACATTAGAAGTCACTTTGAATTACACAACACCATTTCCAGGGTATCAGATATAATGTATATTTATGTTATGTCATTATGGTATTAGTAAGATTTTAAGATCCTTTAGATGGTCCTTGCTTGGAAAATATTTCTCCAGTTACAGAAAAGTTATCTTTTGCATATAAAAGCATCTTTTTAAATCAAACTCATAGTAGTCAGTTGTATCTTTTATAGAAACTTTCACATTACAGTCTGCCAGCTACTCCCTGTTACTCTTCGCCCTGATATTTGTTTTCATGTTGCTCCTTTTGCTTAGATGCTGTACCTATCATGCTGTAAGAAACATTAAAACACTTTCATTGTAGTCTTTGGTTCTTTTAAACCTAAACTCCATATGCTAAAAGATTCTTTCCATGCCAAAAAAAAAAAAAAAAATACCCTTTTAAGCATAAGAGCCCAGTTTTCCTAAGTTGTTGGTTCAATTTTGCTAAATTGTTCCAGCAAACTTTCTGTCAAGATTGAGGAAAGTTACAGATAGATAAAATAGGGGCTTTAATGTTCACTAAATAAAAAGGACCTTGGTTTATAAAATACTATATTCATATTTTGAAATACCTTGTGAATGTATAAAAAGGCCATAATGCTGATGCTGATCTCCAGTATCTTAGTCAAATATATTTGAGTCATTTTTACTTTTTCCTACTATTGTTCAGGTTGCAATTTTCCAGGTTATCGAAGCTTATCTTTTTAAGCAACATACTTCAGGCCTTCTAGATGAATGGTTTTCAATAGTTGCTGTACATCATAATCATATGGGAAGCTTTTTAAAAAAACGAACCTATGTCATAGCTGTACCAGACCAGTTAAATTAGGATTTCAAAAAAGAAAACACCACACATTGTTTTTTATATTAATATTTTTATTTGTATTAGTATGTTAAAAAAAATCTCAGATTTTTATGTGCATGCATTGTTGAGAGCCATTCTTAAGTAAGACTCCATTCACACTAAATTCTTGTACAGCAAAATACGTGCTCTAGAAGAAACTGGGACATAGTAGAAACTCAGAGGTGTAGACATAAACATTTTTTATTTATTTTTTAATATATTTGTTATAAGGTCTCACTATGCAGCTTGGACTCAGAGTGATCCTCCTGTTTTTAGACTCCCCAGCACTAGGATTACAGGCGTGCAACACCACGCCCTGTCTTGGGGTCCACTCAGTGGGCCCAGAGGCGGGGCCAGTGTGGCCTGTGGTGCCAGGGATAGAACCCTGGTCCCTGCACTTGCCTAAACAGTCACTTAGTCCACTGAGCTGTCCCGTTAGCCCTGAATTAAACGTTTTAGCCTTTAAAAAATACACATTTCCCTTTCTTTACAAAAGAGTTTGAAATTTGATTAATCTTTTTCAAAGTCAATCAAGGTAACAGTTACGAAAGTGATTTAATAAACCCTGTTACTAATACTATCTTTATTAAATACCAAAGTCCATCTTTTTCTTCTGTCTAAACATTTTTCTGAATTTAATATGAAGTGTTTAAGGGACTAGCAAATATAACTAATGTTTATCATGGCAGACATACTTGTAATGTATCAGTGTACGTAGTATTAAAAATCCTTGCTCTCCAGAAGCTTATGTTCTCTTAGGAGTAGCCCGCCAATAAGTTTTCAAAAATTAGTAAATTGTATAACATATTGTATAGAAAATAATGAGTGCTGTGATTTTTAAAAGGACAGAGGTGGTGTTTGAATGGTAACCCTAGCCCTTATCTAGGGCAAGACACTAGTAGATAGAGCTGGCCCAGAGCCTTTGAAGCAGAGAAGTGGCTGGAGAGAGGAATGTGTGTGAGGGAGATCAGAGAGGCAGACAGGAGCGGCAGCCATGAAGGGACAGCCAGGTCAGCTCATGCCCACTCCAAGTGAAATGGGGAACCATTACAGGGCTTGAAACCAAAGAGGACCTTGATCTGATTTACGTTTTGTTAAACTCATTCTACTGCTGTGTCCAGCAAAGTGGTTGGGAACAAGTGTGGAGCAGAAGCAAGATAACTAGTTAGGAGACCTTGGAGTAACATACAGGAAAGCTCTAGGCAAAACTGGCCCAGACAAAGTTGTGAAGGCTTTTTAATGGGTCAGGTGTTTAGTATGTGAAGAAAAGAATGTTAGGATATTGAGACAAGGAAATTTATTGCCTACACTAAATCATTTTCTTCCTTGCTTCCCTCCCTCCTTTATCCATCCCTCTTTCTCTCTCTTCCACTCTTCCACTGTTTACCTAATGTCAAGCTTCCAATTTTTTTTTATTATTATTTTTGTAGTACTTGGAATTGAACTCAGGATCTTGCACTTGCCACACGAGCATTTATTCTACTGAACTATCTCCCAAGCCCAAGCTACCAATTTCTAATCTCCTTCCCATCCTTTGCCCTCCCTTCCCTTTCTTTCCTCCTCTCGTCCTCCTCCCCATTCTTTCCCACTTTATACCTCAGGGTCAGCTACAGTTTTAATTACCATTATTGTGTCTACCTCTGATTGCCCTGAACTGTTCTAGGCTGTATTACTTTACTTTAAATCTATGCGCCAACAGGCACAGATTATTTTAAAGTATTTAAAGTTATCTGTAAATTTAGATAGTTGACTTAACGAAATGGGCACTGCATGATGGTTTGTTTCTGTATTCAGGGATAAAGTGGCTCTGCCTTACTACCAGGATTTTAAAGCTGGCCTTGACTGACTTTTCTCTGAGTTCACAGTGTATTCTCCATGATTTGCGAAAAACCTGAATCCCTTAATGACAGATTATTTATATTTTTGTTGTTTGTATGAATAGGCAAAAGAATGGACCCCAGGAGGCAAATCAAAGGAAGAAAATCCTGCTAAGAAATTTTACTCTGAATCTGAGGAAGAGGAGGAGTCTTCTGTTAGTGGCAGTGACAGTGGTGGGTTCCCTCATTTACTGAAATACACTATTCACATTGTAGATTCCATGGAAAGTCTTACCTTCTGGCCTATAATTAAATCTAGGACATCCCAGAATTCTTCTCTTCCCAGAGGCAAAAGAATGGAGGGCAGCAATATACAATGAAAAGAATACTGAAAGGAAGGATTTAGAAGACATGGCTGTCAGCAGTGCAAGTTCAATAAAGTACCTTCCTTTCCCTATATCTGATTAATAAAAGGGGTAAAGTTAGGTGTTTTTTTTTAAAAATCCCTTTTTCACTAAAGCTTTGTATGTAATTCCTACAACAAAAATATATTGGAGTTGCATCCTCTGATTAACAGCCTGTAAGCAGACTGATGCAAGACAGTGTTACCCAGCTTTATCTAAAAGCTTTATTCCTAGGAAATGATGACCCCTTGCTGTTACTTGGTTATCCACTGTCTTACTCTAAGGTCATACATTCTTTTATTCCTGACTCCCCATCAAGTCTTTGTTTTCAGATTGGCTTGATAAATTAATCCAAGTTATATTGCCTTCTGATGTAATAAACCAAAAAGCAGAGAGGATACCTCAATCAAAAAAGTTCATGTTATTTCTTGTTATATATGTCTTGCTTTATCTTGGCCTTGGGGGCCTGAGGAGATGGCTCAGTAGAAGAAGCACTTCCCTGGCAAGTGCAAGGGCCTGAGTTCAACCCCCGGTTCCACAAAAAATAAATAAATAATAAATATCTTGGCCTTAACCATCTAGCAGAAAAATATAAAAATGAAGTATAAAAAGTAAAGCCACAGCTACAACTCTTGTTGCATAGGTCCTGCTTTACCTTGGTCTTAACCATCCAGCAGAAAAGTATAAAAACGAAGTATAAGAAGTAAAGCCATGGTGTTATGTTGAGCTGGAGGGGACTCAGGTCAACAATTTCTGATATTGCCAGTGAAGCGGAAGACCCAATACTATTATGGGCTTCTGAACTCTTTTAGAATATTTTGCTGAGTTTACACACCTGTAATATTTAAATGATGGAACTTAACAAAAAAAAGGGGATACAGATGAATATCCATTTTGTATCTGTGTATTCGAAGTGGTTAGGATAGATATATAGTTGCATTCTCTTAATGAATAGAGGGATTTGTTCTAATGGTGTTTGTAAATAGGCTATCAAGTCCGCATCTTGTATAGCAATTAACCACTAGGAAGAATGTATGCAATGTGTTAATTATTGAAACTGTCCTAACAATTTGGTTTGAAACTGTCACATTGCTATTTGTTTCTCAATAAAATTATGGAAAATAAAATAAAATAAATAAAAATAAAAAATGATCCATTCACAGGAAAAAAAAATTTTTAAAGATAGGAGAATTACAAATGAAGTTTTCTATGATTTAATTGATGATAAATGATTATTTTGGGGTAGCTAGATCATTATGTAATAAGAATTTGGAATGTTTTGTGGCATTACAAAACCCATGTGAAGTATATAAACACAGGGGTACTATTTAATTGTCCACGTTTTCCCTGGTAACTCAGAGCAGAGGAGCTTGATGGCTATAATGAAACTTATTTGATGTTGAGAATGTATTGCTGACTTCATTTTACCTAACAATAATCAGTATAAATAATTAATCTGCATTGCTTATTTTATAAGCTTCATCAAATTCCCTTTCCTTCTTTTGATTAAGAAATTGTTCAGAAACTACTTTAAAGAAAACAATATGCAGTATAACAAGCATTATTGATTCCCTACCGTCTTGTTTTGAAATTCTGTATCGTTTTAACGTTTTCTTATCTCTTTTAAAATAAGAAAACAAGCAAAAAAAGAAATTGTTCAGAAATGTTGGCACTATCACCTCTGTAGTTCTTATTATCACAAATATGCAGTACTTTTATTGTATTCTTGGGATAAAATAATGTTTCAGAAAAAAAAAAAAAGTAAAGCCACATGCCTGTAATCCTAGTTCTTAGGAGGCTGTAAACAGGTGGATCACCACAAGTCCGATCTAGTAGTGATACTCTGAACACCCTGTAGACCCTTCACTAAAATAAAAGTTTAAAAAAAGAAACAAAATAAATAAAGCCATATTAATATGCTGAGCTGGGGCCAGGGAGATGGCT